TGCTTGGGTGCCTAGTCAATCCCTGTTGTAGATACCTGCTCAAACACATTTGCCTTTCGGCATAGCATCGTCTGGGGATGCTCTCTGCCCGCAAGCAGAGAGTACAACAAACCCAGCTGAAGCCGAATCTCCAACTGCAGACCAACACATACAGTATTCACCACTATATTTATGGGAATGGCGGCATACCCATTATCGTCCGTAGGTATGCTACAACAATATGCTTGGGTGCCTAGTCAATCCCTGTTGTAGATACCTGCTCAAAAACATTTGCCTTTCGGCACAGGACCGTCTGGGGATGCTCTCTGCCCGCAAGCAGAGAGTACAACAAACCCAGCTGAAGCCGAATCAACTGCAGACCAACACATACAGTATTCACCACTATATTTATGGGAATGGGGGCATACCCATTATCGTCCGTAGGTATGCTACAACAATATGCTTGGGTGCCTAGTCAATCCCTGTGGTAGATACCTGCTCAAACACATTTTTTCTTTCGGCATAGCATCGTCTGGGGATGCTCTCTGCCCGCAAGCAGAGAGTATAACCAACCCAGCTGTAGCCGAATCTCCAACTGCAGACCAACACATACAGTATTCACCACTATATTTATGGGAATGGGGGCATACCCATTATCGTCCGTAGGTATGCTACAACAATATGCTTGGGTGCCTAGTCAATCCCTGTTGTAGATATCTGCTCAAACACATTTGCCTTTCGGCACAGGACCGTCTGGGGATGCTCTCTGCCCGCAAGCAGAGAGTATAACAAACCCAGCTGAAGCCGAATCTCCAACTGCAGACCAACACATACAGTATTCACCACTATATTTATGGGAATGGCGGCATACCCATTATCGTCCGTAGGTATGCTACAACAATATGCTTGGGTGCCTAGTCAATCCCTGTTGTAGATATCTGCTCAAACACATTTGCCTTTCGGCACAGGACCGTCTGGGGATGCTCTCTGCCCGCAAGCAGAGAGTACAACAAACCCAGCTGAAGCCGAATCTCCAACTGCAGACCAACACATACAGTATTCACCACTATATTTATGGGAATGGCGGCATACCCATTATCGTCCGTAGGTATGCTACAATAATATGCTTGGGTGCCTAGTCAATCCCTGTGGTAGATACCTGCTCAAACACATTTGTCTTTCAGCATAGCATCGTCTGGGGATGCTCTCTGCCCGCAAGCAGAGATTATAACAAACCCAGCTGTAGCCGAATCTCCAACTGCAGACCAACACATACAGTATTCACCACTATATTTATGGGAATGGGGGCATTTTCATTATCGTCCGTAGGTATGCTACAACAATATTCTTGGGTGCCTAGTCAATCCCTGTTGTAGATAACCGCTCAAACACATTTGCCTTTCGGCATAGCATCGTCTGGGGATGCTCTCTGCCCGCAAGCAGAGAGTATAACAAACCCAGCTGTAGCCGAATCTCCAACTGCAGACCAACACATACAGTATTCACCACTATATTTATGGGAATGGGGGCATACCCATTATCGTCCGTAGGTATGCTACAACAAATCAATTTGTGTGAAAGCGAATCTAACGAACGCGATAGGAATTTAAACCCAGTTCGACAATTACTCGTTCCGAGTCGGGGAAATATTACACAAGCTGTCCATGTCTAATCTTCTTATGTATACTTTGTCTCTTCAGGAGGTAGGCAATCATGGCTCTCCACAATTTCCTATCATTTCTAGCTCTTAGTGAAATTTGTTTTTTGATATCTCTCCAAAAACCTGTCCCGCTAACGATGTACACAATCTCGTTAGGTAAATTATACGATGTTTCTCCTCTGTCGCCTTGCTGTCAGTATACGATCTGTGTGTCAAATTCTTCAAATTCGTTTCCCCATTATGTGCGCAAGAAATTTCAACTGTCGTTATGTTCCTGATATTAATTATGAGTGACCATTTTTTATCACCGTTGCTCAGATGTTCATTTCATATTCTCAGCATCCTTCTGTAGAAACATATTTCTTTTGCTTCAAGTTTTTTCTTCATCTGTGAGGTGATTCACCAGCATTCATATGAGATTGTCCGGAATTGATATTACGTAACATTTCAGTACTCTTTTCTTTGTTTCTAACGAAATTTTTCTTGTTTCTGAATACTTTATTTAGTTTTTGTAAGGCATATTTCGCTATCCCAATGCGATTTCGGATTTCATTATTCTTTGTTAAAAGACTTACCTGATATTTATTTTTTTTTACTTGCTAGTCTTTGGTATCTCCAATTACGGAAAAGTCAACGGCCAGCAAACTAGAGAGGGTGTCTCAATAAAATCACCGTGGAGAAGGCAACGTGAAAACAATAAACTATCAATACCAATAATATTCAGGATACTCGGCACAATTTCTATTTCTGATCATTTTTGTTTGTTCTTTTTTTTTTTATTTCCTAACAAGTAAAAATAAACAAAACTTAAACATATAGTTATTTCTTTCAATCGAAAAACTAAAATAATCACTTATAGATTATCAATGATGTTTATAAACAAAGAACAACGAAAATAAAGATCGTAGAACGACGATCTGGATGTTGTAATAAAACTACAAAATAAATATCCTTCGAAAAAAAGAAAAGAAAAACAAACAATGAATTAATTAACTAAAAGAAGATTATTTTTATTATCGGCAATTCTAATATATTCTCAAAAGTCTAAGACAATGGATTTTCCTCGAGCAATGTTACACTATTCATGCCTATCTATATATAATGTATATTCTCGTGTATAAGACGGATCAGACAATCAATGTGATTTCCACGATATGCTCATGATAAAGATCGTAGAACAACGTACAGAATGTGCCTCGTCAGATGAAAATGCGTTTTGTTTTGTTTTTAATTTAGAGTTATCCTTCCCCTTGACTGGTTTAGAAGTTTTAATTTAGAGTTATCCTTCCCCTTGACTGGTTTAGAAGTTTTAATTTAGAGTTATCCTTCCCCTTGACTGGTTTAGAAGTTTTAATTTAGAGTTATCCTAATCCTGGACTAGTTTAGATGTTTTAATTTAGAGTTATCCTTTATCTGAACGGGATTAGACGTTTTAATTTTGAGTTATCCTTCCCCTGGAGTGGTTTAGACGTTTTAATTTACAGTTATCCTAATCATGGAATGGTTTAGACGTTTTAATTTACAGTTATCCTTCCCCTGGACTGGTTTAGACCTTTTAATTTAGAGTTATCCCACCCCTTGACTGGTTTAGAAGTTTTAATTTAGAGTTATCCTAATCCTGGACTAGTTTAGATGTTTTAATTTAGAGTTATCCTTTATCTGAACGGGATTAGACGTTTTAATTTTGAGTTATCCTTCCCCTGGAGTGGTTTAGACGTTTTAATTTACAGTTATCCTAATCATGGAATGGTTTAGACGTTTTAATTTACAGTTATCCTTCCCCTGGACTGGTTTAGACCTTTTAATTTAGAGTTATCCCACCCCTGGACTGGTTTAGAAGTTTTAATTTAGAGTTATCCTAATCCTGGAATGGTTTAGATGTTTTAATTTAGAGTTAGCCTTTATCTGAACGGGATTAGACGTTTTAATTTTGAGTTATCCTTCCCCTGGAGTGGTTTAGACGTTTTAATTTAGATTTATTCTTCACCTGGACTGGTTTACACATTTTAATTTAGAGTTATCCTTCCCTTGGACTGGTTGGTAGACAAGATATAAGAACCTAGACTATTCTACTATTTAAAGCATAGGTTGATAGGAAAGTGTATTCATGCGTAAGTAAATAAAATGAACTGGATTCTCCGACCTCTCGTTCCCGGCCGTTTTCCATTACGCTGCATGCACATATGTGTCAGACGATGATTCGACTATAACCGACTCTGTTATTTTATGTCTGAGTAATGGTCAAAAATTCCCCAAAATCAACAATATTTTTTATGAAGTTTTAATATTTAAAATATATAAAATGTTTATAAGGGCCATTTCGAGTATAATTTTTCTTTCACAATTCCATTGAACAATGTTATTTTTTTTTTACAATTCCATATGGTTTACAAACATTAAAACAGCTTTCTCTAATTTTTTTTATATTATTTGTCTTAAGGGATAATAAGGTGCGGATTTTAAAATATTCTGTAAATTTCTTAAAATATTTTAAGTCAAACAATGTAAAGAAATTTCTCCACACATAATTTGGCAATATTTTTTTTACATACAGTTGAAGTTGAGAATTGCAAAATATTAACCCCGAATATCAGCTTACCCACCATTTTTATCCCTGATATTTTTGTCTCTTATTACTCGAGTGTATACGGCACATATAAAACTCACTGTCTAATTTACGATTCGTTGAAATATTTGCTGGTCGTAATCAGAAGCCAGAAACGTAAACACGATTCCCTCTTCAAATGATTGATTGATTTGTTTTTTTGGGTTTTTTTTGTTTTGTTTTGGTTTTTTTTTTTTTTGGTTTTTTTGCAGCTTATCAACCCTTTGCAGGTTATTTAAAAAGAGAAAACATTTTTAAATTGTCAGAAGTCTTTCGAGATTTTCTTATATAAATCCTACTAATTAACTCATATCTAGTTGTACATTCATATATTTTCAAAGGGTATCTGCGGATAAATATACCGAACCAAACACAATTTGAAATTCGGCTCTCTGATTAACAATTCCGACCTCAGTCGAAAATATAGGTCATTTCCACGACACCCCACTGCAGTTAATTAAAAATCCATAAACCATTGTTTATCTGTATCGTACGCGCTTTGCCAGAGCTACATACGGTTTTTGAATTCGCAGTTTCTCTTCTCCTAGACTGGTTGCCAACCACGACAAGACAGCTCTATCTACACTAGTAATTATCTCATAGTTGATATTGGAGAGAAGGAATGGATTCACTACTTTACCAAGGCTATTTGTGCGAAAGTTTAATCTAACGAACGCGGCCGGAACTTAAACCCGGCTCGACGATTTCTCGTTCCGAGCCGATAAATATTACACCACCCGCACAACCAAGCTAAACGCACCTGGTATTTCCAAGCCGTCACCCATCTAGGTATTGACCAGGCTCGGCATTGCTTAACCTTGGTGATCTTATGGGAACCGGGGTTTGAACGTGGGAAATAATTACGGATCTGATAAATATTTAAATTGCTGATTTGATAAAAAATCCTGCTCTCCTTCCTTTGTTTCTAACCATTTCTTTCCGTTTCTCAACACTTTCGCTTGGCTTTTGCATTGCCTCTTTTTCTAGTCCAAGTGTTCGGATCTCAGTGTCACATTTTCCATTCTCCGTTAAAACTGTTCCCAGATATTTAAACTTCTGCAACTTCTTGATGTTCACATCTCCAACGTCTAATTCGCATTTTTAGACCTTTTTTTTTTCCTTGCTGGTGAACAAACTATCTGACTTTTTGTAGATGATGTTTCAACCTTTTCTTTCTTGTTTTCTTTTACTAACCTTTCTTTAAGTCATCACCACAGTCACTTCTGCATCAAGATTCCTCCCACAGGTACGGTCTCCGAACACCGTAGAATAGCCTCTGTATAGGGATAGAAATAAATCTGGGGAGAAGACACAACCTTGTCTTACGCCCCTTTACATTTTCTGTCTGCATGCAGGCGGTTTGCTTCCACTATAATTTCTAGATTATTCTAACATTCTTTCCAAATAGATCGAGTTTTCCTAGCAGTTCAAATAGATCCTTCAGCCTTAACTTATCAAATGCTTTTCCGTAGATTTATAAAATGGTAGTGCATATACTTCTGCGTCTCTCTCTCTCTCTCTCTCTCTCTCTCTCTCTCTCTCTCTCTCTCTCTCTCTCTCTCTCTCTCTCCTATTTACTGGTGAATTTATCATCTTTGTTAATCTGTAGAACGGATCCAACAAAAAGTTAGGATATCAATAAAGAAATCATCCAATGAATGATTTAAATTGTTCAAACAATGCTTGGGAATTTAATTAATTTCCCCAGTGTTATCGATGGATACATTAACTTAAAAATGGTATTTTCTCTTTGTAGCAAAGCGAATTCGTAGTATGAAAAAAGTGAAAGTACTACTTTTAGGAAGATCAAATATCAAATATATAAACAAAGTCACTGGTGTAAAATAAAATATGTACGTCATAATACATTATCTGAATCTATCCTATCCATTTCAGAGTATATTATCTTTGGAGAAATATTCCCTGTAAGTCTTCCATATATGGGTTTTCCTCCAATTTTTTTTATTGAAGTTACTTAGCTTCTAAGGAAGACCTATATTCACAGGTGATTATCCTCTTGTCACCCAAAATACCGTAAAATGAACAAGCAGTTAACATAAATGTTCATGGGAATGTCTTTAAAATATTTCCAAGCGCAAGACATTTAGTATATAACCGCCTGAGGTCTGTGTTTCATCGTCACCCGTGGCTTATATAGAAGGCTTGACATAAGACAGTGGGATGTAAAACCAATTTAAATCCCAGAATGACTCAATAGAAAGCAAAATTTCATTAACTTATCACTGTTGTCTCTAGCTTCTCAAAAGAAGTACTAACCTGGTCACTAGTGACTATTTCAAATTAATTCCCTTGTGGAATTAAAGATTTTGCTTTTACAGAACCATTCCGAAAATTGAAGATTCCCAGTACCAACTTTACAGAATTAAATGTCTGTGAGAATATGGCATGCTGTTTCCCCTGTTTGCATTCATTTCTGGTGCTACCAGCATAACACTTAATCTTCGACTTGAGCTCTCTATTTTTTTTTTTTTTTGTGAATTCCTTCATAACATATTCAACAAAAGGCATTATAACATGGCAACAATTCACAAGATGCTAATACACTATTCCAGATTGTTTTCCAATATTTTCCGCCAACTGTATAACATGAACACATACTACTTCCTCTCCTGCTCGGCATCCAAATCGGAATTATATGACATGTTCGGCTGTATGTCTATTTAATCTCAAGCTTTTTACAAGGATACGGACATTTCGTGGTATTTAATATATTCTGCAAGGTTTACATCGACATATATTTTTATAATTAAAGCAATACTTTACAAAATTCACTGCAGCATTGTCAGTCGTAAGGAGGATGGGATTAAAGCTTTCCTCCATTTCTTCTGTGTTAAGAATTTTCAATTTCGCCACTACAGATTGTATTTTTTTCAATTCCTCGAACAATTTACAGATGGTAAATGATTCAGAGATGAAAAAGATGAAAGCAATATTTCAAAGATTTTCGAGAAAAATCTCAAATTCTTTCAGCGTGCAATCAGCTGCAGTTTTGATAAATAATATAAAAATACATTTAACCTGCATATGTTATCATATCTATCATGGGAAAACGTAAAACGTAATTACTCAGTCCACACACACACACACAAACACACACACACACACACACAAATATATATATATATGTGTGTGTGTTTGTGTGTGTGTAAAACGGGACAAGCATTTGACGAGCGAACGTATTCTATACCTTTACGAAGTCGGTATGACAGGGTTGACACTGCTCAATTAACTGAAAATTTCTTTTATTAATTCTACACACACACACCTATATATATATATATATATATATATATATATATATCTGTGTGTGTGCTAGTGTGTGTGTGCACGCATTCGTACGTGTTTTGTATCCGCGTGTGTGTATATATATATAGAGAGAAGGAAAATCACAGAGAAAGAGAGAGTTTAATATATTTTCCAATACATGATACATTATTAATCAATGTCATGATGTTGAATATATATATATATATATATATATATATATATATATATATATATATATATATATATATATATATATATATATATATATATTGTGTGTTTCTATGTTTGTGTTCATGTGACGCGCTTCTTCCTGGTATGTATTATGTTATATATATATATATATATATATATATATATATATATATATATAGTATAGAATAGATGTTGTTCTTGTTTTTTTCTTAGTAATAAGAGGACAACGAAAATATACCTGAAGATGTCTGTAGGAACAGACGAAAGCTTGTAGTAAAAATAACAACTAATACGGCAGAAATTTATATAAACAAGGATCAATTCATTCATAACGGATCTGGAGGTTTTTGTATACTATTTGAATTGTTTGCGATGATGAACGTCTCGCCATTTAAATCATTAACCTTTGCATTAGTTTTGTGTGAATAATTAATGTATTTGTAAATTGATTGCACGTTTATCGTAATATATATATATATATATATATATATATATATATTTAATGAAAAACAGACCACTTTAAGGTACCATTACAATAATTTATTTCACCAAAATCCTTTTTAAAGGATTCCGGATCATCAGGTAACACTTCCAACAATGAAATGAGAGGAAAAATGGGATTAGAAATTGATGGGTAGTGTAATTTTTGTAATTAAACAGGGAGGGTGAAAGTGGCAGTTAAAGAGACAATACAGAGTATAGGGAGGGTTATATTAAATATTAGCTCTGTTCTTCACATTGAGCTCTCAGGATTTCATCCTCCTTGGATATATATTCATACATATATATATATATATATATATATAGTCTGTATCAAAAATATTTTGTAAACTTTGATGGTGGGTTCCTCGCGCCAAAACAAGGACAAACGTTCATATAAATATGTCCGCAAATCCTTCTCCTTTGAGTTATTAAGTTTAAGGAAAGATTACAGTAGATTGCACTGTGTTGCCATTAGACTAGGTTACATTTTTTATTCGTGTGCATTTGTAGCTAGTCTCTCTTCAACGTTTAACGGGTGTAGTAGTGAGTTAACTGGGAAGTGTTCCATTTACCAATGGCAGGAATGATGTTGCGCGGTTGTATCAGATTGGTTTCCGGACCGATGGAAATGTTGCCTTGATTTGGTGTCAGGAATCCGCCTGCAAAGTTTCTAAAAGTATTTTGGGATGATTTCTTGTATTGTACAGTTAACTCCGTCTACCGTAAACTTAAAACTTTATAAATCAAAAACGAACGATTTCAGGACATATATTAATACGGACTTTTGTCTTTGTTTTGCTGTGAGGAAACCGCCCCCAGAGTTTGTAAAATTATATTGATATACATTGAATATATAAATTTATATATGGATGTGCAATGTTTAAAATCACTTTAGAATTCCAGCCTAGTTCGTTACATTCTCTTTCCTGCAAATACCCTCAAGAAAGGTACGAATCCAATTCTTCTTGTACCTAGCTATATAAATAGCCGAAGTAAACTATGTTCTCTACTCGTGGTTAGTAACCTTGCGAGAAGGACAACCTAAATTCGAAACTATATACAGCCATCGCGAAGAATATTTTATCTATATTAACAATGTCTCTATGACCATGACCAAATTACTAAATGAACCAGAAATAAAAGATTTTCTCATAGAAAAAGAGTTGCATGCTTAATTCGTCTGAGAGACGCAATCGTTCTTTAGTAAGATTTCCCAATTCATGCCGGGTGTTCTTAATTTCACTTATAGCGAAAATAAAATCGAAAAACAGCGATAGTACCTCAAATGCGTGTATCCACCAAAATACTGTTTATAGTAATATATATATATATATATATATATATATATATATATATATATATATATATATATATATATATATAGTATACCAGATCAGTTCCCAGGAAACCGACAGCCCGACAACAGCACATGAGATTTGATTATAGTGGTGAAGGTTTCGTGCAGGACCATCCACACTTTTTGAAGGGACGAATACAGAGACCTGGTGCACCGAATGCCACAAGGTTCCCAAACGACCCTCCGCAGGTTTTGAATTCAGACCAGTTGCCAACCAAGGCTATAGAACTCAGTCTGTTCTGCTATTTACCCATAGCTGGTGGGAGAAGAAGAGGATTCAAACCTTTCCCAAGGGTATTAGACGTAATCTCATGTGCCGTTGTTGGGCTGTCGGTTTCCTGAAACTGATCTGCTTGACCCTCATACGTCGAATTCGACGAGAGAGTCGACTATATATATATATATATATATATATATATATATATATATATATATATATATATGGCCCCCAGTGGATAAAAAAGCCTTGGTTGGATTCAGTGACTTGATCCAAAGAGTTTTGACTTCGATACCTGGCTACTGCAGTGGTGAA